GCCTCGCTCGGGCTTTCGTTTTCGTTTACTGGTTTCGCTATGCCGCCGGAGGAAATCTCCGACTCAAAACCGTTCAGCGACGACGAGATGATACGTAAGTCGTCGTGTGAACTTTTTTCTTTTTCTTTGTCTAAGGGTAGTTTCGTCATTTTAGTTAAGGTGTTCCCATACTTAGAGGGTAGTTTGGTCATTTAAACATGGAAATTTAATGATACAATAATAATTGATAACAACGGATACATGATTGGTGGTGTGCGTCGCTTTGCTTTTTTGCATGAGAAATCAGATAAAATTATTTAACAGAGACGCAAACAATAGCCTTCTATTTGGTTCCACGTGTTCTCTTTCTCGTGCAACAGAAACTCCCACCCCTTGTTATTTCTTTTCACTTTTCTCTTAACTTTTCTGATTTCAATTGCAAATTCGGTGGTGCTTGCAATTAATATATTTGTTTATATACGCAAACTTTAAATATGTAATGAGAAAACATTAAATTTATACATAAATATCTTTGTAGTATAAAAGTTCAAAACTAATCATAACATTTATAATCGCCGTAGAGAAGCTATGTACTACTAGTAGTATAACATTTCATTTAATACATGAGACCTAAATTGTAAATACTACAACTCACTAAATTATTCTTAATTATTATGCTGTTCTACTATAAATTAAATCAATAAAATGTCACGCTTTGTCTTTCTGGCTAATAATCAATTCACTTTCGCCTTTCTATGATATCAGTTCACTCTCTTAATAATTTAATTTTATATGGTAAGTGCACATATAGGTAGAAACTCAATAATTAAATAAACACTACTAACGAAAAAAGGAATAAAACAAAAAAATGAGTGATTCGTAAACGTCACATAGTGATTGGTTCTCCAACTAAACAGCTTTTTATGACCAAGTAGGTAAAAAATAGGTAAGAGGAAGTCAATATATCTCTACTAATTAGTCAAAACTTGTGGGTCCGAATCTTGGAGTTAATAGTGTTTGATTTGTTGTTGTAATCTGTAAAATAATGTACCTAAAAGTCCAAATCTCCCAGAGAGACGGTTAGTTATACATCGTATATTTTAAACTCACGTACCATAGTGTTTACGTGTTAACATTCACCTAATTAAAAAAGGATTTAATAAATCACTGAGTCACTGATCCCTTCTTTTGATTTAACGAGTAACAATGAATCAACGGAATTGCCTAACTGTTGCAGCGGAAGACATTGAAGCAGGAAACAAGAAGCCTAGGTTTCATGCAGAACCAACATTGCCCATCTTTCTCAAGGTAAAATAATCATAGGATTCAAACCAGACAGAGAAAAGATAACAAAGATTAGGGTTTCAAATAGAAATGTTAGAAAATGGATTGAAATGTAGTGAGTGTGGGATTGTTCTTTTTTGGTATTGATCTTCTCTGTTTGCACAGGCAGTGAGAAGGAGATCAAAAGAATATGACACGTTTGTGTCTCTATCTATGTCTCTACTTTTCATCATCAGGTTCAAGTCTTGTACTGAATCTCATCTTACATGAAATTTATGTACAAGACTTTTTAGAAACCAAACCATGAGTTGTTCACAAAAAAAAAAAAAAGGAAACCAAACCATGTAGATATATCTTAGTCTAAGTCCTGAAAGCATAAGTGAAAATGTGTAATAAGATTATGAATATAGGTTTCATTATGAATGAGCTAATCTCAACACTTGGTGGTGGTTTCTTTGTGTGTGATAATGATGCAGTTTAGGGAAGTCACATACAAAGTGTTGATAAAGAAACTAACTTCATCTGAAGAAAAAGAGATATTAAGTGGGATAAGTGGGAGTGTGCATCCTGGTGAAGTTCTTGCTCTCATGGGACCTTCAGGGAGTGGCAAAACAACTCTTCTTAGCTTACTCGGCGGTCGAATCTCTCAATCATCTACGGGTGGTTCGGTTACTTACAACGACAAGCCCTACTCTAAATTATTGAAAAGCAAGTAAGTAATTTTGGCCCTAGAAACCCAAACCTAATCTCTTGTAAACATATGCACATATGGAGATTCTAAAAATGGTTTGGTTGGTTTTGGTGGTATAGGATTGGGTTTGTGACTCAAGACGATGTTCTGTTTCCTCATCTTACCGTGAAGGAAACGCTAACTTACGCTGCTCGTTTGCGTCTACCTAAGACTCTTACAAGGGAACAGAAGGAGCAACGAGCTTTTCATGTTATGCAAGAATTGGGTTTGGAGAGGTATGTTGCATCTTTTTAGAGGTTACCAAAACATAACAAGTTAAATGTAAGTCTTTATTGTAATAACTTGGGATCGTTTGTTGTAGGTGTCAAGACACAATGATTGGTGGAGCATTCGTGCGAGGTGTATCAGGTGGAGAAAGGAAAAGAGTTTCTATTGGAAACGAGATCCTTATAAATCCTTCTCTGTTACTTCTCGATGAACCAACTTCTGGTTTAGATTCCACCACTGCTCTTAGAACCATTCAAATGCTCCACGACATCGCCGAGGTTTGTCTCTTTGTTTGTTTCATACAATCAATCGTATCTCTACTCTATGATGTTTGTCTGAATCTTGATTATGTTTGGAACAGGCGGGGAAAACAGTGATCACAACGATACATCAGCCTTCGAGTAGACTCTTCCATAAATTCGATAAGCTGATTCTGTTGGGAAGAGGAAATCTTCTCTACTTTGGGAAATCATCAGAAGCTTTGGTGTACTTTTCTTCCATTGGTTGCTCTCCTCTTATCACCATGAATCCTGCAGAGTTTTTGCTCGATCTTGCAAACGGTAACATCAACGATATCTCTGTGCCTTCTGAGTTAGAAGATAGAGTTCAAGTTGGCAATTCAGGCAGAGAACCTCAAACTGGGAAGCCATCTCCTGCTGCTGTTCATGAGGTACTAAAAAGAAAAACAATAACATTTTCTAAGAAAACTAAAGATTATTTGAAACCAAATTGAGTTTTGATATGTATATTGGAACATTCTAAGCAGTATCTAGTGGAGGCATACGAGACTCGGGTCGCAGAACAAGAAAAGAAGAAACTATTGGATCCTGTGCCACTCGACGAAGAAGCTAAGGCCAAAGTTTTGCGTTTAAAGAGACAATGGGGAGCGAGCTGGTGGGAGCAATACTGCATACTGTTCTCTAGAGGACTTAAAGAGCGGCGACACGAATACTTCAGCTGGTTGCGTGTCACGCAAGTTCTTTCCACGGCTGTCATTTTAGGTCTTCTCTGGTGGCAGTCGGATATTCGGACTCCAAGAGGACTACAAGATCAGGTATACTGTTATCGTTTGGATATCATTCCTCTACGTTTTACCGCAACAACGATGAAATCTTATGCTTTGCTTTTTGCAGGCCGGTTTGCTCTTCTTTATAGCGGTTTTTTGGGGTTTTTTCCCTGTTTTCACTGCTATCTTTGCGTTTCCGCAAGAGAGAGCGATGCTGAATAAGGAGAGAGCAGCGGATATGTATAGATTAAGCGCTTATTTCATGGCTCGGGCCACGAGTGATCTCCCTCTCGACTTTATTCTACCTACACTCTTCCTTCTAGTCGTCTACTTCATGACAGGTCTTCGAGTCAGCCCGTATCMCTTCTTCTTGACCATCCTAACCGTTTTCCTTTGCATCATTGCTGCTCAGGTATGTTCAAATCGAAATCAAGACGACACTTTATAACGAAATAATGTAATCAAAATGC